ATAGCGATGGCCTCCAACGTAATAGCGATGGCCTCCAACCTAAAAGCGATGGCCTACAACCTAAGAGCGATGGCCTCCAACCTAATAGTGATGGCCTACAACCTGATAGCGGTGGCCTCCAACCTAAAAGTGATGGCCTACAACCTAAGAGCGATGGCCTCCAACCTAATTAATAGTGATGGCCTACAACCTGATAGCGATGGTTTCCAACCTAATAGCGATAATCTCCAACCTAAAAGCGATGGCCTCCAACCTCATAGTGATGGCCTACAACCTACTGCCAGAGGGGGCGGGGATCAATCTGCCCGGCCCGGTCTTTGGCCTTACCCCACACCCATCCGCTCCTGTGAGGCTCCCGCTGCGCGCGTGTGCCGCGTGCGCGCACGTGCGAGCCACGGGAACCGGCATGGAGGAGAGGCCGTTGGGCACTTTCGCCGCTGGCCTCGCAGAACCGTTTCGACCGGCTTTGCGCGGTTTTTCACCGTCGCCGCTCGTCTTTTCATGCGGGGACTGAAAACAAAACCCAAAACCTCGACTTGGGAAGGCCATGAAAGCAACATGAGTACTTGAACACGTGTATGAAAGCAAGGTGGAACCCTTGAACGAAGTGTACCTTCTTTCACCAAAATGTGTGCAGGGGGCGTGGGGGATTTGTGTGACATCATATCATCGTGCCACCAGCCAAGTTTGTGAGGAGGACTAGCTGCCTGATTGCTACTATGTATTGCTGGAATGGAATCTAAGATGCCTCGGTGCTCTCGGAAACTCCAACGTTACTCCCAAGTGTATGATGCCATGGGATTGAAAAGAAAGAATGACAAAATCCTGTGCACCACCTGTCATTGCCATTAAGCGCGACTTCCCCCCAAAATGTTATGAAGGCAAGGCTAAGGGAGGCCCCCAGGAAGCATGCCGTTTCTCAAGAACATGTATGCAAGCAGACGGTGGATACCCCGTATGATCATATTATCGGCCAAGGTAAACACATGCATGACATGCTTTCTTGGCAATGAACATGTGGAGACAATGTAATTGAATGTATTTCTTTCGAGTACACTCCCAAAAGAAACACACAAATGTGTGTGTCCTGTTGAACAATTCAAATCATATTCTGTTGCATATCCCCTCAGCATTCCTGAACTTTCAACATTTGTTGAAATGTCAGTCCCGCTCTTGACTATGCGAAAATTGACACAACATGCGTACAAGGGACATGAAGGGACTCGGGATACCACTTGAAATCCAACTGTCATGATTCATCATTGGACTTGTTCCCAGTCCAGCTCGTCCACTCTTGCAGTGGTTTCGCCTGGAAAACATCAGACATTCTTGCAGAAACGACTTGAGTGGACACCAGTGATGGACATACACCAAGTGGCGCGAGCGCCAGGTGACAAGTAGTAAAGAGACTAGTCTCACTTGCAAGGACACACTTTCACCAAGTCGAACCCGTGGAACCACCAGGAGATCAAGATCGGCTGCCTGAGAGGCGCCGGCGCCCGGGCCCACGCTGGGCCAGGCTGTGCCTGGTAAGGGTGGATCTTATGGTCTTGGGAAAAGTTTAGACTACTTTGGTGTGACGGATTTGGGCTAAAGAAGGCCAAGATTGCTTCCGTTGCTCCCCTCAATTCAATGATTGGTCCACAAAGCGGCGACCAAAGGTGCTGGGATTCGAAATCATCACATTGCTTTGCTTTCTTCCCGGTCGGCCTCCAGCAGGGTCGGGGAGCTCGTCGCTTTCAATGTGCAAGCCTCGCACACGTTGTATCTGCAAACGTCACCTGAAAATGCCGCGGCAGGCAGCAATACGACATCAAATGCGCTCGGCTGCCAACAACAACGGGCTTGGATATCCTTGGGTGCACTTGAAGGATCCTTGCAAATGACGCTCAAATGTCAAGTTTAGTTCAATGTAAACTAAAGGAACCACCAAGCAAACTCAGGAATCAGTGCTTTTGGATGCTTTTGCAAGAGTTTCTATACTAGCACATACTAGCACCAAGGAGGTTCAAGTTCAACTCTGGATCACCTCGGAACTGCAGGCTGGTCTATGGTCAAACCTGGCAAATCACCTCACCTCGTCACCTACACCTGTCCAGCTGAACACTTTGCCTCGTCGCCCATGTCGTCCGCTGAAGTCCGGTCGCATCTGCTCGGGTTCCCCCGTCGGTCGGATTTTTGATTCATAACACCCCCAAATTAGAATTGTAAAACCTTCAGAACCTTCATATGTGGGGGGGTATGAATCAAGAGTCTACATGATGTCGGACTCTCATCCTCGGCTTCGGCGATCGCGTCTTCTGGGGAGGGCTCCACTGGGGGCCCTCACAGGTCTTGATGAGCCGGCCCGGCATGCATGGCCCACCACACGCACCGCAAAAGCCCACCTGCGGTGCGTCTGTGGTTGGTTGGGCTTAAGGGGCGGCTCGGTTCAGCCGCCCACCGTTTGGAAGGAAGAGGCATCTGCGTTTTTGATGAGAACAGTTTCCTTGGTAAATTCATGTAGATTACTTCCGCTGGTGGAGCAATAGTAATCGCCTTTTACAACTGGCGCTGGACCCCCAATGGTGGCTTGTTCGGGTGTTGTCGCAGAACAGGTTCAGAATTCCACCTGATCAAAACCCTTCGTTCATAAAATCCAAGGGACATGTCTGTGGATTCAGATTGGAACCTAGCATGGCAACAACTTGACCTGGTCTGGCGCACTCAACATCCCTCAACCATGGGCCACCGGAGTCATCACTCATCAGAACGAACCAGCCGGACCTCTGTCGTCCACCGGAGTGTCAGCAAATGTCCTGCGTCGCCAAATCATGCGCCAAGAAAGTGGGGCTCCACTTGGAAAACCGAGTTTGGACGAATTTGAGTTGTTCTTTGTTTTTGTTGAGGTTCAAGTCATTCTTTAATGTAACTGTGTTGTTCTTTTGGGTCTAACTTTTTGATTGTTTTTGAATGTTTTTGATTTGTTTGTTGTGTCATTGTTCATGTATGTGCGGTTTATCGTATTATCAAAGTGATGCTTCCCTTTGGAAATTCATGTGAATTCCTACTCACAAAAAGAGTCTTATGTTGGCACATTTCGTCTTAAAGGCATGGCTGAAGGATTGTGGAATTACATCTTGCCTCTCTGTGCAAACAATTGAAAAAATCTTGTCTAACTTGAACAGCAAAATGCTCACTCTGGGGATCTCGGGGGTAACTTATGCTTCTGAAAAACCAAAACGTGCAAATGCATCTTCCTGGTGAGTGCCTTTCTATTTGTCCTGGATAATTAGTCTGATTGAAGCAAACCCCTCCTGCCGGACATCCTTGCGCGACAGGCACCGCAGGCGCAACGCCATGGATATAATTTGGAGTGCTCCACATCCCAACCGGGCCACTGACGAAGAGGTGCTGCAAGCAGCATTACACATCAAACAATTATGAATTTCCCAGCGTCCTACACCAAGGCATTCTTCTTGAATTGCAAGCATCCCCTTCTCTTGGCGCCAGTCTGATGTTGTCTGCCATCAGGGATATAAACAGTGAACTTTCATAAGGCGTTGAACCGTTGCGAGCCAATTGTTGCCCTCCCATGTCGTGCAGTTGGCTTCAAGGAGGGTTTTGCACCCCTCAAAAAACATCAGCAAAAGATCTCCTGTTTCGCAAAGGATGGTGAATCATGGTGAATCACCGCGTCACTTCATATCACTTCCACGCAAATCACATTTCCATCGTGGCTTGCATCGGACCTGAGCCCTGAGCCGAATGTCGGTCGAGGCCGAATGCGCTGAATGGGATGTGTGTGGATGTTTGGCACATGGACATCGCGTGCCCATGCGGCCTTCGAGCTGGCCATGTCGACGTGATTGGATAGCAATGCATTGCTGGCGTCGACCAACGCACTTCAATGGACCTTTGCCTTGAAAGGTTTCCCCACTCGGATGTGTGTGTGTATATATGTGTATATATACGCTTTCGAGAGACCTGGCTCAAGCCATTTTGGCTCAAGTATATTGGCTCAAGTCTGCTCAAGCCTGGGCACAGGGCCCTTTGACCGACGACGGCACTGGGGCTACACTCTTCCCACGCGTCCTCCTGCACATCGCCCTTGTCTCTGAGCACGGTGACCCGGCACGTTCTCATGGGCTGGCATTGCAGAGCATATCAATGCTGCAGCTCCTCAGGCTGCTCTAATTGGATTTGGGAGGACAAGATTCAGCCCAACTACACATGTCGCAAGTGCTCTACACCTTGGACGAGACCTTCACAGGGCTATGCAAAGCCAGCTGAGCGCAAGGTGACACATTGGCAGCAACCACGGAGGCGAGTTTCACCACCACCCGGCATCCCTGTCAGCAGGACTCCACGCCCTACCAAGCTGCAGAAAACGGCTTCAGAAATCTTGGCACCTGCCTGGAGCACCATGGACGAAAACATGCGAACCAAGCTCGTTGAACTTGGCATCAACCCGGCTCCCAAGACCAATGAGCCCGATTTGACAGATGTCCTCAAGGAAAATCTAGCCAGTCTACCAGCTCCGGTCAAGGAACTTGTTGAACGCATCACCAAGCCGCAACCGGAGACTGAAAAGGACATGGCAGCTCGACTCAAACAGCAGGTGACTACTCTCCGGGACATCTCTCAAAAGAAGCAACAGTTGCAGCTCAAGATCGACAACACCAAGAAGCACTATCAAGATCTTCTTGAAGAGATGAAGACACTTCAAACCAGGCTAGAGCAAGAACAATCTTCTCTGAATACCATCAGCACGGCGTATCTCACCAAGGTCAGCTCCACACAAGGGGACAAGCCCTTGCAGCCACTGGATACCGAGGTCAAAGACTCAGTACCAGAGGCAGTAGCTGGTTTCATTCATACCCTTGGAGTCAACCTGACGCCGGAGCAAAAGGAGCAACTCCACTCGATGCTCAAACGTCCTTCTTCAGAAGATGAGAGCATGGATGAAGAGTCGAAACGACGCAAGACGGAAGCGGGCAATCAAGGATCTTGTGGGTAGCCCCTTTGACAGCTTGCGCCCCTCCTTTTCACTTTCTCAAGGGGAACTACAGTCATGGCCTTTGACTCATGACTTGGGACTTTCTCAACCAACTTGCAGGGGAATTGCACCTTTGGTTGATGCTTCTTTGATTTCAGGCTCAAGCTCGGGCCGCTCCACCTTTTCGGGCTATGGGCCGTATCGGCGCACCTTGACTTCCATCAAGGTGCTGGGGGGAGCGCTGCGCAGGGCAGCGCCTCTGGCCAGACAGACTCCTGAGGCACCGTGTTCTTCTACCTCAGAACAGACCCCTGGTGGGTCGGTTTCCTACGGGACCTCAGCGATTCTGTCCTTGGCCAAAATCCTCAACATGGAAGTCGATGATGACTTTCTGACTTTTGAGCAGCGAGCTCTTTTTGATTCATGCACCAAAGACATGCTTACTTCGTGTCAAAATTATGGTCGCAACCCAACTCTCCAACGAGGTCAACAGTTCCTCGTGGACCTCCGACGCATGCAGAATCTTGTGCAACTGCATCACCGTGTTCCAGGGGAATTGGAGCACTCAGTTGCAAACATCTACATTGTTTCGCAGTGCTTGACCAGCATCCTGCAGAACAACCGAAACATGTGCTATGCCAATGCTCCATGGCGCTGTTGGTGCTGGGCTGGAGCTTATGCTGAGGACCCTACACAGGCATGGGGCCGAACTCAATCAGCTGCTCGTCAGTTCTTGTCCGACACCGACCCTCAGAAGCTGGCGGGATTGCACAACATGGTCCACATTTGGCCCCAGGTCAATCACGAAGAGCAAGCTGACGCTGTCGATTTCCTTCACGCTTTGTGGACGTACTCAGGCAGCACCTTCTTCGCTGGGCGCTTCTTCCACCGAAGCGAAAGAGGTCACACTGAGGAGCGTGATCAATTCCCTCTCAACATGATTTTCCCAGACAGATCAGGTCCCATCACTTTGGATCAACTTGTCAATCTCTGGGCTGATGAGGGCAATGGACAATTCCTGTACGGATCCCCAGGAGGTTTGGTCATCAACCTCCAAAGATCCACCTTGCAGGAGGGAACATGGACCAAACACCATCGTGAGCTGGACCTTCCCACCAGGGTCAACGTCCCTTCCTCCGAGGATGGGGTCAATGTGCACTATGCGGCCTATCAGGTCATCGCACTGGTCTTGCACCAAGGAGCCACTCATGAGAATGGACACTATCAAGCCATTTTGGCTATGGACAATGTCTACTGGCTAGCGGATGACAACAGCTTTCCGACACCATTGCCTCACCTGTCCACTCAACAGGCCAAGGAAATCTCCCAAATATGGCTGGTGGCCTCTCCTACTGACGAAGTATTCACCGACACGGCCATAGAGATGACAGCAGAGCAACCCAAACGAGCTCGAACCTCACAGGAGACCATATCCATCTCCATCAGCAACGTCACTTTCTTCGGCAAGAAGGTTCAAGACTGGGCTTGGGGGCAAGGAGACACCATCATGATGTTCCAGGAAACTCACCTCCAACAGAAAGCCCTTGACACTGCGCTTCAATATTTCTCAAATATTTTTGATGCAGAGGGTGGAAGGTGCATGGGGTTGCAGCTGAACCCACTGGCAATGGCGGATCCACAGGAGGCTTCCTCACCATTCATGCTGCCAGACACCTCATTCATCACGTCCACACCTACGTCAAGCAAGGCAATGGGTGGACGGCCTTGGCCATGCAGAGAGAGGGTATCCAGATCTACCTCATCCAGCTCTACCTTCGCACCGGTGAAACTCTGCAATCGCCTCTCAATGCTGAACTCCTCGGCCAGCTGCTCCAATTCCTCGATCACTTGAGGGCTCCCTTCATTGTTGGTGGGGACTGGCAAGCTTCACCGGAGGATTTGGCGGCCACCAACATCCCTAGCAAATTTCGGGCCCAGATTGTGGCCACGCCAGGTCCGACCACCCTACAGGGCAGCCACCTTGATTTCCTTCTTGCCTCCACCGCCATTGCTGGGGCTTTGAGGCTTGAAGCGAACTGGGAAGTACCTTGGAAGCCACATTGTGCTCTGGCCCTCCAACTGGATTGCACTCATGCTGCTCTCCCTGTGCAGCAGCTGCAGAGGTTTCCTCCGATCTCTCGCATCTACAATCCGCAGCACAATCATTACAAAAAATTGTAAAACAGACTACAACTTGTGCTCTCAAATGGTAAGCTAATAGTTGGTTGTATGGAAACATCTTCTCCTATCATGGCATGTCACTGGGGGCTGGGCCTTTGAACTTTGCTTGGAAGCAGATTTGTTTTCAGTGTGAAACAGTCAGAGCAGGGGTGGCACTGGCACTGAACATTGCCTGCTACTTCAGCCATTTGCACTGGTCATCCTTCACTGAGGATGATGGACCCTTTGAGATCTTAGGGCAAACCATCACTGGTCTTGGCTCAGATCTGGCAAGGTGGGCCACTCAGACGGAGAAGTACCTCACACAAGGACTTCACCAACCGATCACAGGACGAGGCTCTCGGATCTCCCTCCTTCAAGCTCCTCTGGCCAGCTCCACCAAACCTCGCGTTTGGAAAAAGGGAAGCGCCGCCTTTTGGGAGAAGTTTGGAGCTCGCCTCAACCTAGCCGCACATGGCCGGTATCCGGGCATTCTCCAAGACTTGAAGGACATGCTCCAACGAATCCCACAACACGCCTCCAAAGAACTGGATCAACCACACTTTGAAGAGCAACTCCTCCAATGGATCTTTGGAGGACTTCATCTTCCAGAACAACTGCAGCAGATCATCCAACATGAACAAGATTTGGCCCAAGCGCAGATGATGAGTGCCACCAATCACGAGTTTCGAGAATGGCTGGAGAAGGCTCATGACAAAGGACTTCGAGGTCTTTTCCGAAGTCTGAGGCAGAAAGACCATGCCTGGCAGCGACCCTTCCAGTCCTTGCCTTCCACTCAAAGGACAGAAGCTAGGGAGCAGCAATGGGGATCCATCTGGATCCCTCTCGAAGGTCCCTTGCCGGTGAGAGGCATTCAAGAGCTACGAAGGCAAGCGCAGGCCCAAGCTCTCCAATGGAAGAGCATAGACTCCAGCCTCTTGCAGAAAATCATGCGCAAGCTTCCCAACAAGGCGGCTGGGCCGGACGGAGTCTCTTATGACTTTCTTCGTCATCTGCCATACCCTGCTGTGGAGAAGCTCTCTCAACTTCTTCGAGAGATGGAACAAGAGGCGGAGCTTCCTCTTCAGCTCCGCCACACCAACATTGTCATGATTCCAAAGAACGAGAGGATTGAGAGACCTATCGCCCTCACCTCATGCCTGTACCGCTTGTGGAACTCCTATCGGAAATACGAACTTCACCGATGGCAACTGGGACTGGACGATGACATGCCCTGGGATCATGCCAGACCCCACAAAGATTGCCTTAGCATCGCGGTCGGGCGAATGCTCAAAGCAGAGATTGGCAAGCACCAAGGCATCCACACGGTCACCTGCCTAGCAGATCTCACCTGCTTTTACGACACGGTCCAACTGGACCATCTCATTGAGCCGGCCC